CTCAAAGCCTATTAATACACCTTCTACATTTTCTCAGTACCATCTTGTTGCACTTTTTGTAAAATGATTTAATTTATAGAAAAGAGACTGTGCAGCAGGGTTGCTTTTGCTCAATGTGTTGTTTTTATCGTAAACTTTTCCTTTTACCCTGGTATCTAGGTGAACAAGGGATGGTTGATGAAGCTCAGAAAGCATTGGAAGAGGCGGAAGCTCTTAAGAAGGTTGCCAAACAGTTCTGTTTGTACTTCAATTGTGCTTCATTATAACTTTTTAGTGTTCAAATTACCCTTCTTTCCATTCTCTATTAGTATTTTTTTTGGCTCAAAACACTTCCCCTTCCAGTTTGACTACATTTAACACTTCTCTCCTTGATATGCCTGTCTACTTCATTCAGCTGCCTGTGAGGCAAGAACCTGTTCAGGATTCCTCAAAGTACACTGCAGTTGATGTGCGGATTGTAAGTCATTTTTCTAGCTCTGATAAGCATTATTTACTGTTGGTTCTCCTCATTTATAAGTTTATATAAGTGTTTCTACCGAATTTAATCTAAACGAATAATGATCTTACTTGAAAAATTTATTCAGATGATTCCTTGAGAAAAAAAAGCCATATGTAATCATTTTCTAAAAGCATGGTTTGGAGTTGCAGATGGTGCTTAGAATATACTGTGAGACTCGCATTCTCTGAACTTTTACGGTAGCTTGAGTCCAACGGTAGTATGACTAGTTTGACGGTTACAAGAGGTGGGTCAGGGGAGTTAAATTGATAGGGTCACTGTGGTAAGGAGAAACCTTTAGGAATGGGAAGCAGGTTAATTCAGAGGCATGGTTGAACTTCTTTACAAGCAAATCATCACACACTAGTCGTGATTAATGGAAATATGAATGAGAAGAGTGGATTGTTCTTAGTGAAGTCATATTATCATGAGCTTTTAGTAAGGAGGAATTGGGTTTCTGCTCTGGTTTGGATCCCCAGGGTACCAAGCCTTGTGTGCTTCTTTATTAGCAATTGAGGATTTGAGAAAGGAGGATTACATATATTAGTTGGTGATTTATGTGCAAATGCTCAACTGAAGACGTGGACCACCTCATCCTATATTATCAGGTGGCAACACATTTAACACACGTGGGATCAGAGATTTTGAAATGTTTCAGCTGAAAAGGGGGATGCTTGGTATTTAGAAGAAAGAAGAGAAGTCGAAGACCGCGGAGCATTGCACCATTAGCACTCACGTGGGTCTAGAAGAGATTTTAAAGGGATAGAGAGTGATTGTATAATTGAGGATAGCCTGTCATTCCTGGATTTTGTGCCTCCATGAAGTTCCTGTTTGTATAGAAGATTGTGTTTCGTTCGTGGAGGATCATATTATGTTGTAGATTTCTACTTTTTGGTATATTAGTGGACAATATATTTTTTAATCATTAATAAAAAAAATATTTTATAAAAAAGAATATCACCACTGGGTATGTTGTTGTATAAAAAAGAATATCACATAAGATTCATTACCAGAATATTCTCTATTAAATTAAGTATATCTATTTACCTCATAACCTGGAGAATAATTACCTACAATATTGTTTGTAACCTAAGCCTGATATAGGAGCCCTTTCTAGCTGTTAACATGTCAATAAAAAGCTCTCTTCTTTTTGATACTTTCCGATGATAATGATACAATTCTCTAGCATTTTCTTGAAAAAAATTAACTATTAAGAATTTCTTAAGAACTTAAGTTAAATAAAGAGCTGGAGTGTTTTTCGCTGCAATTTGAAGTACAAAAAAGATGCCTCAAGTGGGCACATATATGTATGAGTGAGCAGACAGAATCAGGAAAGGGTGTTGTTTGTTGCTGTTCTTGCATATATTTCTGCCGAGGAATCTCAGCATGTGGTCTTGATATGAATTTACTGTCCCTGACAAGTGAAATGTTAATTATAACTTTTGCAGACTGATCAGAAGCTCCGTGTATGCGATATTTGTGGAGCTTTCTTAAGTGTTTATGACAGGTAAATGCTCCTTTTTCCGTTACATCTTTTGGAACATTTTCCAAGTATAGCTGTGTAGGGAAAGCAAAAGGCTACTTTGAAGTATTGTGTGGTTCAGTTTTTGACATGGTGATTGTACCTCCTTGTCACCAGCAGGCTTTTTTGGGCCCAGTTTTTCGAGGATAAACTTTTGCCGCTAAATAATGTGCGTCTTTTCTGTGTTTATTTTTCAATCATGTTATGTTTAGCCAGAAAGTTATGGGAGCAACTTCATTTTGCTGTTATCTGTTCAATTTTTTTTTCTTAAAACTATTGGACATAGTACTTGAAAATCCAGCTATCCTCACTTCTCTTTTTCTTTCCAGTGATCGTCGCTTAGCTGATCATTTTGGAGGAAAGCTTCATTTGGGATATATGCAAATCCGTGAGAAATTAGCTGAACTTCAGGTAAAGATAAGATATCTACTTGAAGATTTCTTATATTCTGTTGCAGTGTAGGTTCTGTTATTGGAAGTATATAACGAGAACTTTGCCATGTGGTATTTGTCAATACATGTGCCTGTTTCCTTATTTATCTGGTTGCATAAAGTAATCTCTGATTGAACACATTTGATTTTTAGTTCCTAAATTGATATTTTGAATTGTTTGATTCTGGTCCTGGTTTCATGTTTCAGTTTCTTCTGTTGTCACTTTCTATATTTATGCCCTTTATAGTTAATCTATCTTTTACTGATCTTATTATGGTCCATAGGGAAATACGTATTCTCATATCACACCTCATATTTTATTTGATGTTCATAAATGAGATATGAAAGGTTATTAATACTTTTATTGAACCGTATTAGGGTAGAATTTAAGATGGGGTAGAATGGTTGAATAAGTGACATATGTTTGGCTTCTTAAGAGCTAAAAAGAGTTGGTAGTTATATGAAGGAGATCATCATCATAAAGGAGAGTATTATCAATTCTTTAATGCATGAATCAAAATATTGATCTGCTGGCTTTAGGTTCTGCCGTTTCCTGCATCTTCCTTTATGAACAGAAAATACAGAGAAATCTCCTATGTTGTCCAGCCTTGCGTGACAAGGATGAAACTTAGTTTGGTGGTGATGGTTTATTACTGCTAATATCTGTTAGCAATTCAATTTTTGCTATTATAATGTTCTCCTATATAATGTGTGTGAATTTGCTTCTCAATTATTTGCTAGAGAAATTTATTTTGTTTTCTATCATGTTTGAAAATTTGGTGCCTTCCTGTTTTTCATTTTGTGCACGTTCCCTATTGATTTATAAAATTTGGAAGTTGATGAGGATGCTACTAGGTAAGACTTAGGTCGATGTTCCTTTTAAGTTTTAAAATTGACTAGTCAATTAAAGAACGGAAGAATAGGGATTATCATTCTGTACTTCACAATTTTGTTCTTTGAATATGTGTTCATTGTAATTTCACTGGAACAACTATGGGAGTTTGTGATATGCTTCATCTGTGCTTTCTCAATGGTGAATTGCCAGGAAGATAGAAACAAGAAGCGCAAGGCAATAGAAGAAGATAGGAGGTTGGATCTCCTGTTGTGACGTGCCTATTCAGCTTTACTTTACTGTATCGACTTTTGCTTTTACCATCTTATCTTCAAATGTTCAATTTTACTATGTAGATCTAAAGAAAGGAAAAGCAGGGAACGCGAGAGAGAATCAAGCAGGGATAGAGTTGATAACCGTGAAGTGGGGAGAGATCATGATCGCCGGAGTAAAGATCGCAGCTATGATCGCGATCGTGACAGAAACAGAGACCGCTCTCGGAACTATGATTCAAGAAGTCACAGGAGATCACGTTCACGGTCAAAAGAAAGGTCAAGGGATTATGATCGCCACAGGTTCTTATTTTTTTCACTTAGCATATTGCATTGTATACATAATGTTGACCCTTGCAATACCAAATCAATTGTATACACAGAGAAACGTAGTTTCAATATAATTATCCACTTGGGTAGCAAATATAGGTATTGATGCACGCACTATTGTATTCTCTTTACTATGCATTTGAGAAAAGTTTCTTGTTCAATATTCACTTAACAGTTTTTTTTTTCTTTCCCAGACGTTACGATCGCTACTAGGTGAAAGTTGCTGTGGCATGGGAAGTTAAAATCTTGTGTCTTTGACTTGGTGGATGTTTGGTACTTGGTAGTATCTAGGAGATGATGTCATATATATACTGCCTGTTTTTATTTGGTCGTTTTTTGGATTATGAAGTGGTAGGGTGAAGTTTGATATTTGATCTTCAAAATGACATGTACGTTTTATGCTCTAGCTAGTGTTATGACATTTTTTTTTGTACCACCCTTTGAGATTGCACCTCTTGTGGAGATGATAACCCATTTAAAAATTCCCAGGCTTGTTTTTCGCCATCATGGGCGATTTGTTTGTGGAAGATTGTGTCTTTGATTTTTAAGTTTCTAACTAAAATGCAACATAAATCTTTGAGGAATACAAAGTCTGGCCCCAAGAATAACTCTTATGGCTCAATTTGTTGACATTTCAACATAGATTTAATCCTCTTTTTTAAAAGAAAGTGGTATGAAGTTAACTAAGATAGTAAACTCAAATATTTTCCAGTAATAGCAATCTAAAACATATCTTATTTTTAATTATGCCGCATAATATGCTTTATGTATAATTATTCTCTCAACAAAAAGTGTACTACACGTATTAGTGACAAACTAACAATATCATATTTATCCCGTCTTGAAATATAGTATTACCTAGCATTATCGATTTGTCAATTCACAATTTATTGGAAGAAAAATGAAATCAACTTATGATATACTTGTTATATATATCTCAAATATTTACCTATATGACTTTTACAATGCCGAATTTTAAACCTCTACCTCTATAACACTTAAAAAAAAAAAAAAAACACAAATTCTTTCGTCATTCAGATTTGGTCCAAGGGGGCCCACATGCTGACTTGTTAGATCAGACTGTTCCGAAACTAAAAACGACATCGTTTAAGCATTTCTCCATTATCTCCACAGTGTCTTTGGATTCATCGACACACTCTGTTTTCTTCTCTCTTCTCTTCTCCTCTCTCTGAATATCGGCGAGCAAAATGACGACGTCGTTCGGAACAACGACGACGGCAACACCGGCGGCATCTGCTTCACCGGCAGGATTTCCGGTAAAAAATGCCCCGAAATCCTTGACTTTATTACCTTTCTGCCATCATCGCCATTACAATCATTTACGTTCCAAATTATCTATCACGCCCAAACTCCGACTCTCCTGTAAGGTATTACTATTTCTCTGCTCTTTTGCCTCCTCATTTCACTTTCCTTCAATTTATTTTGTGTTTACGGCCCTCCCTCTATGAAATATGCATATTATTTAGATTCAGTGAGTTCGGAATGAATACGATTTGTTAAATGTGTACATTTTGGAAACAAATTCTCTTATATATCTAGCTAGCTCACTCTCAGGTGGTACCGTGCTAGCATAAATCAAGCCATGTTTTTTGAGATTACAACAGTATAATCCCACATGTGGAGTATGGGGAGGTTTGGATGTACGCAGACCCAACTTCTGCCTTTGCAGGGTAGAGAGGTTGTTTCCGATTGACCCTCAGCACAGAAGTGTAAACAAATCATGATAGAATGGAAAATAGCAAGATAAACAGATCAAATGAAGCAACATGTAATAGTGAGAATTGAAGAACACATTACCAAGCAGTCTTAAGAAAAGAAGAAAATAAATAAATTTGAGATTGATGTTATAAAATTATTTGTATAAATATTTTATGTATGCAGGATTGCTCTATTATTTATTTTGTTATATGGAGTAGGATTCACAATTTTTTTATCAGGGATACAAATTACTACTGCAAATACTAGTGTAAATATACTAGAACAACATCTATTATGTGTTAATCTCTAACTAGTTTGGGCTCCGTTATAATTAGATATGATAAAACTACCGTTCAGTCTCAAACTAGTTCGGGTCGACATATTTTAGAAATGATTTTCAGCTATACCATATAGTTTGAATTGAGGTTACTGTGAAAGGGTGTATTGGCCAATGGTTTTATTTCTATTCTTAGTATAATTTTATATCTTTTGGGTATTCTTTTGCTTGTGAAACTTGATATGAGAACACTATGTAAAAGAAGTGAATATCTCCAAGCTGAAATTGAAGCTGGAAATGGAAAAGACACCTTATATGTTATTTTAGATGCAACGAACGAAGTTAAGCTAATTAATTGGTGTAAAGGTTTCATCTTTGGTATTAATGAATGTTCAATTTTTAAAAAATGGTTTCATCCTTTATTATTTGTTCTGCTATTCTCTTTTCTGCTTTGCCATTAATATTGAGTAGAAAAGAGCATCCAGAGACCTTTGTTAATGATTTTTCCTGGGTCAGGGAAATTGACGAAGTAAACAACAACAAAAGTTATTTTAGTATTGTTTCATTTTTTGAGAAAACCTAAAATATGTTGGAAGCCAATAAATTAACTGAAGAACTGCACTTGTATTAACATTGCCATTGTAGCAGTTTCAGAATCTAACATTTACAGTCAGTGGATACAAAATGTGTCCTACATACGCACAAGCACAATCTTTTTCACATATGTACTTATGATCTAACCAAAACAATGTGTTCAGTTGAATCCATTGAACCCACTCTCGATTTGCCTCTGCAATGTAGTATCTTCTTTCCTCAATGGGTTTTCTGTTACTATGAAGACCCTATTGTATTTCATTGGCGATCTTGTATCAATTGTAGTGATGTAATTCGTTTGTTGAACCTTTTTTCAGATCGGCAAAGGTATAATTTTGTTGATTAAACAACACTAAGACTTTGTTGAATATGTACAACAAAAAGCAAATAATACATTCCCTTAATTCTGAATAAATATATTCATTTGTTAAACTTGAAAGAACCCTTCACAGGACACTTTTAATTTGAAGGAAATTGCCTCTTAAGAACATTAGGTAGAATTAAAATATTGTTTTGAGTGCATTTGCTTTTAGAAGTAGTTAAAAAATAAAGGGTTGCTCTTATATTATTATACGAGAAGTTGATTCTGCAGCACTTATGCAACTATTTCGGAGTTCTTCTCATTTATTTTTTTCTTCTTCTGATAAATGGTGATAGATTATATAATATGCTTAGAACTTGTCATATGAAAGAATTTTTTGGACCACCATCCCGAGTGGCCAAGTTATACCCTGTGTAACTCATTTAATGGAAGAACCAAAGTACAAATCCCCATTTCCCAAATTTTTCAGAGATGTTTTTTCCATTTTTACTAGTACCAGTGGAAGAAAGACTGATGTGGCTATAATCTTTTTTTTTTTTGGTAGGGTCTACAATCTAGTTGGAATCATTCAGCTGTAACAAGAGCCCAATCGAACGAGGTAAGATTCTTTCAAATGGTTTTCATTGGAGGAATTCTTTCAAATATTGTAACCTTTGTGAAAACCTTTTTGGGACGATCTGTTGCCTTCAAGGTTGCTCTTGGTGGATCTTCAAATAATTCAGCTACTCCTATCACCCAGTCAGAAGAGGTGAAATCACCAAGTGAGACTTCATCTGCAACTTCGGTATCAGAGGAAGCAATATCTAACTTTATTAGCCAAGTTTCAAGCCTTGTCAAGTATGCATTCCCATTTTTTTTTCACATCTCTGAAGAGACTTTTCATGAATAATCATGACAGACTGTCCTTTGTGCAGGCTAGTTGATTCTAGGGATATTGTGGAGCTGCAGTTAAAACAACTTGATTGTGAAATTCTAATCCGTAAGAAGGAGGCACTACCACAACCACCTGCTCCTGCTCCTGCACAAGCTCCATTTATACAATCATATCATGTACCATCTGTACAATCTAATGCACCTCCTCCACCTGCACCTGCACCTGCTCCAATTCAAACCCCTGCACCTTCTCCAGCTGCAGCAAAGTCAGCTGATTCATCTCTTCCACCGCTCAAATCCCCAATGGCAGGGACATTCTATAGAAGTCCAGCACCCAGTGAACCAGCATTTGTGAAGGTATTGCATGTCCATCTTTTATGTAGTAAATTCAAATATGGAAACCTCAAAGATTAAAAAAATTGAAGTTTATGGTTTAATGCGCTCTCTCAATGCATTTGGTTTCCATGATATGCATTACAACAGGTAGGAGACAAAGTGCAGAAGGGTCAAGTTCTTTGCATTATTGAAGCGATGAAGTTGATGAACGAAATAGAGGTAACCTTTTCCTTTGGCTATTGCCATTGCCTGCTATATTGTTTTCTTGTACTTATACGAGACCTCTATTTCATGACTTTTAACTATTTTTAAATTTATATATCTGCTTTTAAATTGGTGCCAAAAAAATTGTGTTTTTACCTGCACAACTTTTAGAAAGGCATTGAACCAAATTGAAATCGTGATTAGTAATTGTTTGCTCATTCATCAAAGAAATAATTTATTGCTTCTCTGCTCTTCTTTCCCAGTGTGGAACAGAAGTAGCATCAATGCATCATAACTCTCAAAAGATGCAGGAAGAAAGATTGCATTTGACTTCTAATGTATAAACCTGCTTTCTACTTATACAAACAAGCAATGAGGTCTCCAAAAGGATGACCTAGTGGTTGAGGCATGAGAGATCCCAGGTTCTCATTCTAGCTACCACATTTGTGTGACCCCATGCTCTAGCCTTGTAATAGGATTACCTCGGGAACCTATACCTGTGGGCTGGCCAGGCTGCATGATGTATTAGTGGGGGTGTGCACAAGCTAGCTTGAGACAAAAAGCTTTGGGTTGTCATTTTACCATCTAACGACTCCTTTCCAAAACTGATGTCTGTTGGTTTTGCTAGAGCTTGCAAATTTGTAAAAGAAAATAAACAGGAGAAATATTAAGTATCTTTAAATATATATGTTTCTACTCTACTAGTCCAGACCACATCCAATATATATATTGGACAACCTATATATTTCTAGTCTACCAAACAAATTAAGAATTTTTTTTCTTAGACTATTTACTTATATTATTAGAAGTAGTAAAGGAAGATACCCCAAGATTCTGGGGGTTTCAATGTATGATGAACTGGCTTAGATTTTATATTCTTTTAGTGGCACTTCTGGGCTTGTGGATTGTTTGGGCATGCTGCATGCTTAAACTTTGATGATACTTAGTGGATCTAGTTTGGACGTGTAAGGTTTGCTATGAAATGTACATAATGTTTGGGAATACCTTTTTCTACTTGAGATTCGTCTGGTAATTGGTATTGTAACATTTTTACTGTCATTGTAGACTTAGCAACATCCTTTGGTGCTATTCTAATTTAGAACAACAACATACTCGGTGTGATCCCACAAGTGGGAGGAGGGCGGGGTGTACTCTTTTTTTGTTCATTATTTATTTTGGTACTGCATTATTCTCTTCATTTTTATGTAATAAATATCTGATTCTGTATTAGCAATTCAATTTAGAATTGGCAATTGGCATAGAATTGACAATGAAAGAAGGATGAATGCCAATTGGCATCTGTTAGAGGGATTAGTAGATCAGTGAAGTCTTCTTTTCATGAAGATGAGTATAAGTATATGTCGTTGTGGTTAGGAAGTGAACAAAATTTCTTGCAATAGCTACTCAATTAATTCAGGACGCCAATATTAAAGAAGTTGAGGGGACTTGTTCCTTGGAATGGTTGAAGCTGACAGATTTAGAAATAAGGGAAAAATCTAAATCTTGTTAGAGAACCATAACTTCTTTATTTGTATTTTTTGAAAGAAAAATGTATATGTGGAGCAGGCATTCAGTGTTTATTATTATATAACTATACTGGGAATCCATAAGTTTATTTATTTTACAGCCCCTCATTCTTCGTTTTCTAACATGCTGGTTTTGTCTCTGCTGGAGTTGTCATGTAGATGAACTCATGCCAGTTTCAATAAAATGCTTGTAAGTAAGTGGCAGAAGTTTCATGTTTCCTTGCCCTCATGTTGCAGAGAAATCCTTTCTTGTCGACCTGATGAAATTTTGTGGAAACTAGTGGTAGTTATGACTGATGTCGCTATTTCACCTATGTCGTCCCACTATGAACTAATAGTTACATCAAAGCTTGTTCTACTGTATGTGATACTTGGAAGACATTAGAGAGTTGATGAGAGAATGATGATAGGTTTGGGCTAATTTTGTTACAGCATTCATTTGTTGCTTCACTCAAAGACAACACTATGTCCATTAACTCCCTGATTTTGCCTCCTACTTTAGCATTATCCTCTTGATGCGCTTTTCTAGTTCCACATGATTGTTTGATTTCAGTTTCTTTTAGTTTGTTATTGTTAAGAAAATAGGTCTGGGCCTAATTAAATCCCAAAAGCTAGCTTAAGAGGTGAATGTTGCACAACATCATATAAGGAGACAATAATCTCATTCCTTCAATAGACGTAGGAGGATCTAACATCCTCCCCCCGCATGCTCTAGCTTGGTTAACTGGAGCATGAATAACGTAAAGCTGGGTTCTGATATCCATGAAATGGACCTTGCCCCTAACTTAACCTCAAAATTTAGGTCATGCAATGAGGATAAGGCCACATAAGGACACAACCTATTCCAACCTGCCAATGTGGGGCAATTGAAAAGTTATCCTTGTCTAAATTTGACTGCTATGTTCTATCTGTTCCCTTCAGGCTGATCGGTCAGGAACCATTGTTGAGGTTGTTGCTGAAGATGGAAAACCTGTCAGTGTTGATACTGTGAGTTTCTTGACTAACCTAATCCAACTATTCAGTTTGTTAATACCATTTCCTTCCTAATATCGTATTTATCTCTCTGCAGCCTCTGTTTGTCATCAAACCATAGAACCGTTCGGGTAAGACCCAGGAAACAATATGCAGAGGAACTTGGCAGGTGTTTGTTTACCTTGGGCTTATGATATTTTGCAGTATTTCAGTTTCAGTGAGTATGTTTGCAACGACTGGTAGTGTGATGGAATAGACGATTCTTGCTAAAACTCATTAGGAGAGTTTAATGTTTAATCTTGAGGTATTCTTTGGCATTTTATTGTGGATTCTAGCTAACTCATTTTTCCTCCTCCTTTTTGACATATTTATGTGAGGTTTGTACCTCGATAACAATCTCATCAAATTAAGATAACTAAGCAAATTAAGGATTGTATGCTGTTTGATTATTTAACCCCTGGGCCTTTTCTTCATTGTTTAATCATTGGCTATTATACGATACTTATAATTGCTATTTCATCTGAAATAGTTTCATTTTACTTGACCCATGTTGACTCGAAAAAACTTTTATTACAAGACTTCTCATTTCCTCACATAGGTCATGTTAGAATCAAAAATTTATATCGATTATAAAATGTGAAATAAGAATACGGGAATTTAGCTTTCTCGATTACTCTCCATGGTAAAATAAAACATTGGCAAGAGAAAGATTTTAACAAGACAAGATCTATTGCAATTTTGCAGCACAAATACATCACTTCCATTTTCTCTAATGAGATTTCATTATCCACGGCTATACACTGAATTTAGTTAGAACTAATTACGACATTCATAGACATTATCTGCTTCATATTTAAACAAAAGAACAGAAAAAAAAATAATATTTAACTTGATCGCACACCCTCAATTGCTGCTACTAAATCATCAAGTTTTGCTCCAGTGACTTCTTTAACGATCTTATTGTTCTTCAGAATCTTGAATGTCGGAACCACCTTTATGCCTAGTTCCTTCGCTAATGGCTGCCAAAAATTATCACATTGATCAATTCTAGTGTGTATTGTTTCATTAGAAGGAGAAGTGGTTTAAAGAATACATACCCTGTTGTCCTGGTTACAGTCCAGCTTCAGAAAGACCACATCATTATATTTCTTCGATAGCTCTTGAAACTTTGGAGCGATCACTTTACAAGGACCACACCTGCAGGTGGATTCAAATCAGAAATCACAATGCGGAAAACCAACACACAGGGAGAAGACACTGTCGAAAAACTGCTTCCCTGAGGCACAGGTAGTTCATTTCGAGCTTCATTGAACAGTAAGCCACACCCTTATATGTTAATTATCATAATTATGATTATAATTTACTTAAACTATCAAATTACGCCAATCCTCCTATCTTTTATCAGGATTACACTAATACTGAGCTAAAAAAGACTTGGAGAAAAGGATAAAACAAAATTAGCAGTGATTCTTACTAGTAATAATCATAATTAAGCACAAAATTCATCAAATCTAAAAGGAAATAGGAAGTATATGTAATTTTACCACTGTGTATACATGTCAACTACGACAGTTTTTTCACCGGCGGCTTCAACAATCGGCCAAAAGGTATCCTTACAAACTTCCGTCACCTGTCCTACCGTCACAGTCGTAGTAGTAACAGTAGCATCTGAGCTACTACACTTCACCTTCAAGCTCAATCCTCTGCTCCTCAAAACCCTAGACGAGAAGCCATAATCTCCTGCAACGCATACCACTGACTGATTGTTGAACCTCCACGGAGAAGATGCCGACTGCGCCGGCGTCGGCGCCACTGATGACTTCAATAGTACCTGATTTACTTGAACTTGTAACGCCATTTTTGCTATTATCAATCTATACGTATAGCTCTGTATGTATAGGTAGAGAGAGAGAGTGGAGGCAGTGTGTGTGTGAGAGAGATAAATGGCGGAGGATTTGAAGGGAGAAGAAGAGAGTTTGAGAGGTGAAATGACGAAATTGTTCATTGAGATATTCTTTTTTTAAGTTTGTTGAGGATTCCATTTAGGGGTGTTTTGGTCATTTTAAGGGTATATGATCTTGTGGTAGAGATTGCATTTGATGGATGAGTCCAAAATGATGGAAGGCAACGTGGAATCATTGGTCCATATAAATTGATTTTTTTCTATTTTTTGGAAAATCTTGTGGTAAGAAAGATATAAATCAAATATTTCGATCGTTTTAATTCGTTTGTTTGATTTTGATTTGATACAAAGTTTTAAAATGTAAATAACATTTTTTGAATGACATAACAGATAAATCTTATAAATGTGTTCTTTAATTTGATTTCATCTTGTATTGATGTCTTTAAACTTGTATAAAGTTGAACAAATAGATATATATGTCTTTCCGTCCTATGTAGTGTCTTATGTGTATTGTATTTATGTAGGACGTGTGTTTACTTGTTCAATTTTATACAAGTTTAATTGTCTAGTTATGTATATTCAAAGTTGAAAAAAATAAATGTCAATTGAAATCAAATTAAATAACGTATTTATGCGTTAAAGACCAAAAAAAGGTCTTACCACACTTTTGTATGTCAAAATAAAGTATAGCGAACTTTAGTATTTTTAAGAGGTGAGCTTACATATAAAAAGATAGGCAATTGAAGATTCATACAATTTGATAGATTAACTCCAATTTGATTGAGATTGAAGTATTATCATTAAAGACATCAATATATTTTATTTTCACTCTCTATACATTGTGGTGGTTTTGAATTTTCAACGAATATGATTTAGATGATAAAAATTTTATAATACTTCAAAATTAATATTTTTGGCGTTAAAAATTAGTGCCAAGAACATCGACTTTTCTTGTCGATCTTCTGCTCAATCAATTGGATAACATCATCTTCATTTAGGTTACAATTCAATAACTTCAACCCTTAGTTGTATACGCACAACTTAAAGCTTATTGTTTTTTTCATTCTACTAGATTTCACTTCGCTAGCACAACTTCCATTTTACTTATAAAGGGGGGCAAGTCAAGTAAGTAAACAATAATTCAAATAATTTTGATTGTTTTCTGTGTATTGTGACATTAGGTGATAAAGTAATGATATTTTTCAAAAATTTTAAAGTAGAAAGAATTGTTTGTTACGATATTAAACGAAAGGAAGGAATGTATACAATGATTGAAAAAAAAATATGAACCATTTCACAAAGTTCAAAGACGAATCTAGACCATTTTGTATAGTTGTCTAAATTTGAACATTTTTCCTTGTAAGAAAGGTCCACATGTTGGAAAACATATGACGTTAGCCAATAAGAACAAATGTAGTCTAGTGTTATGACAACAAGAATAAAACTAACACACTAAATTATTTCAAAAAGTTTAGTAGCGATTCTGAACCTTTGTAAAACAACATGTTCTTATAAGAAAAATGTTCAAATATGTTCTCAAACTTCATAAAATAATTCAAATTTGTCCTTTGTTTAAAGATAAGCTAATATACTTGTCTTTATAAGATTGTCTTTAATGTATTTTTATTCACAAATGACAAAAAAAAATTCAAATTTGAACCTCTTTAAAAGAAAAATAATAAAAACTATTCTAGATCCATGAAAAAAAGTCTTAGTTATTATAAACTATAAGAAAATCGATCCATATTTACCCTTAATGTTTAATGAAGAGCTTTTTTTTATTAAAAAAAAAAACAAAAACTGGGCATTAAGCCCTTTATTAAAATAAAAAATCAATTCTAGGTACAACAGATCAGGCCCAAAAGTGACCTGGCCCAAAATAATTAAGTAACAATTATTTAATGAAGAGCTATTATTCCAACCACATACTATTTTAGTAACAATTGTTTGTTTTAAAAAATAGATATATGACGAAATACATAAATATTGTCTTTAACTTAACCTCATTTTACATTTACGTCATTTAGTTTTGGGTGTGCATAAGTAGATACTTAAAATTGTATAAAGTTGAACAAGTAGACACATGAGTCCTACGTGATATAATACGAGTAGGATACCACATAAGACACAAATTTCCATGTAGGATGCCACATAAGATGCATGTGTCTACTTGTTCAACTTTATAAAAGCTTAAGTGTCTACTTATATACACTCAGAGTTGGAGGACATAAATATGAAATGAGATCAAGTTAAAGGGCATATATATGTATTGTGTCTTTATATTTATTAACTAATATGGTTATAATTAACACTTAAAATTTTGAGCTAATGAGATTTTTATTTTACACCTTAGTATAAAACAAGTTTCATAATAGGCATAATACATAAATGTGCTGATTATGCCTTTCAATTTTGGGTCTACACAAGTAACACATGTGTCCTACTTGGTGTCGTATGCATCGATTCATGTCCTACATAACATCTTATGTGGCGTCATATTATGTCATGTAGAATACGTGTGTCTACTTGATTAATTTTATACAATTTTAAATGCCTATTTGTGCAAATTCAATATTTATGATCATGGATGTCAGTTGAAGTCGAGTTAAACAACATATTTATGTATGATATAATACATAAACATGTCATTTAACTATGCCTCAATTGACATCTACACCCTCAAACTTTGGATGTGCATCTGTAAACACTTAAACTTGTATAAAGTTGAATAAATAGACATATCTATCCTACATGAAAATTCGTGTCCTGTGTGATATCTTATGTGTATTTTACCATATAAAATATGTGTGTCTATTTATTAAAAAACATAAATACTAATTAAAGCTAAGTTAAAAGGGTAACACGTATTTATTTATGTATTATATCTTCATAATATGAGTGGGTATTCAGGATAAGCACGTAGACAGCGATACACTTGAATTTTACCCAAAACCCTTCGAGGGTTTTCGAGTTGTTCAAATAGAGCACCGAAGATACTCAAATCTCTGATAGAGATCATAGTAAAGTGTTCTCTCTGCCCTAACCCACCCCCCCTCTCGCGAACCCCACAATCTCCGAAGAGCAGAAATCTCAACATTTCCATTCTAGGTCACCATTCAAATTAGCAAGATGCATGCTCCAGTTCTTGTTATGCGTAAGTTTTTGTTTTTGATTTTTCCCCCTTTTTGGGTTTTTTTGTTCGTTTTCTCCACTTTTCCGTGTATTTTCTGGATACCCTTTTGCTTGTTTTGGGTGAAAATGTGTCGAGTGGAGTAGAACGGATCTGGAGGATTCATATAGTGTGACCGGAACTAGTTTGGGATTGAGGTTTTAACTAATTGATGGAGGGGAATTGAGAGATAAGAGTTTATGTCTAGCCGAATCTTAACTTGTTGGGGTTTGAACTAATTGGTTGATTCGTTGATTGTCTCATTTTGAAATGCTCGATCTGTTTGTGCAAGATTGAGTTTTTAGACATGGGTTGAGTGAGATGGGTTAAAGGGTGTTTGAGGATGTAGTAATTACTATGGTTTTGAGCTTTTCTGTTAGGGCTCGTTTGGTAGGGTGTACAAGAACAATGGTGAATAGAGTGTATAGCTAATGCTTGTATTAGTTATGTTAAGTTATTGCATATGCAGATTTAGTTAGGGGTAGTTTGGTAGGGTGTACAAGAACAATGTTGAATAGAGTGTATTAGTAATGCTTGTATTAGTTATGCTAAGTTATTTCATATGCTCAGCTTGGTTTGGTGTATTAAAAATAAGATGTGTTGCATGATTTCTAAAATAAATACCAAACAAGGTATAAATAATAAACAAAGCTAATGCATGTACTATTCTATCTGATGCATCCTACCAAACGACCCCGTAGTGTTTTAGTTTGTAGGACCCATTTTATTAGTTGTTTTCTTACAATGGTTGTATTGAGCAGAGGATTCTATGAAACGTGAGCAAGGTGGCAAGGTACAGCGGGCTAATATCCAAGCGGCAAAGGTACTTATTTGTTCATTTTTCCACTGTCCATTCTTATAATAATAAGTAAACACATTAATAATTTGTATTTTTTTATTATGTTTACTGATATACTTGTTTTTTACTAGCTGTTAAAGTGGCATGTATGATGTGAACTTCTATGTTTATTCGTCGGACATCTAAATGAAGGAAGATATTGTTGATCCTTTTGAAATTGCTACATTTCTGTGCCCACTAGTTTGAGTTCCTGCTGTTTCCTGCTATGCATTTATGGATCATTCACTTGCTTATTCAACCATGCTAAATTGGACTTGACTTAACTGATTGCCTTGTTGATATTCTTCTTTCATTTATTTGTTATGGCTTTTGTCAGTAAAACTGCGTAATGTGGTTATACACAGGTTGCACTAAAATGCATGTTGACTGGTGTTCCTGAAAATGATTACTGAGTTGAATATGTGCTTATATTGGGTCCTATTCTCATTATGTTGTCTAAGAAATCCTGCAAGCATTGCTATTGATAATTTTCCTTAGGCAGTATCAACATTATGCAAGAATGAACGCGATCCTTATAAAACACCAAGAACGATTGAGAATTTGTAGAAATCTTAGCCGTATTTTGGATGCTCTAGAAGTTTGAGGAGGCAAGTCTATTTGCTAGTTCAAGTGTCTTCAAGGCATTTCTTTGATTTGTTGCTCTCAACCTAAAACAACAAACTGCATGGAAAATTAAGTCAGAAAAAGAATACATTGGACAAATAAGGGATTTGAATCCCTCTTATTGGGGTTCAAATCTTAGTGGAGGCAAAAAACTAGGTGACTTTTCCCATTTGCCCAAGGGCAGAGTCACCCAATACTTGTGCGGGTGGGAAGTAGGGTAGGGAATATTCGAGGTGAGGGCAAGCTTGTCTGGATACCACCCTCATAACAAAATAAAGTGGGAACGAGGAATCATATATTTCTCTGTATTTTCTCAGAATTTATAATTGTTTGTCACAGCTCATGTTAGTACGTATGTTAGTTCTCTTATGTTTTGTTTTGTTGCCAGGCTGTTGCTGACATTATCCGC